ACTCTTCAGAACCTTTGCCTGTTGCTCTGACCATAATTCAAGGTGGGGGATGGAAGGGGAGGTGCACTTGCTGCTCCTTTGGGGCAACAAGGGACTCTGATGTTTGCAGGCGTGCATGTGGCTGAGTGCTGGGTTTGGAAATGCTGGGTGCAGTCGGCAGTGCTGAGTAAAAGCCTTTGATGTACAGGTACAGAATGCAAAACTCTCAGACACACAGGTTTAGAACAAGATTTGCAGAATTCCTGCCCTAGAAAGAGGGATGCCAGGTTGGAGAAGTTAGGGAATGGGAAGTGTGGAGCTGAGAGGCCAGAGAAGTGTGACGTCACACAGCCGTGGGGCCAAGTCGCATCAGCCCAGCTTCGGCCCCTGCCAGTGCAGGCCGTATGGGGGCTTGGTGTGTGCAAAGGAGCTGGGTTGAGCAGTGGGGGTTATGAGGTATGGGCAAGCAGGGAGAGTGCTGAGAGAGGGACAAAGGAGACACAAGAGGGACTTTTGAAAACCGAGAACAGATAACGACTCTCTACAAACAGAAAAAGGAGCAGGAAACTCCGCTTAGTTCATATGCATTAAAACGCTGTTAGATATACTACATGGGTGGTCCTGCGGGGTGCAAACGGTTAATGCCCTCGTGCACCTTGGGAAGAAGGCCTGCCAATCCACTTCCCCAAACCCAGCCATTGGGAAGCCCGTGGAGCCCAGTTCTGTTCCGACCACGTGGGGATGCCGCGAGTGGGAGGCGACTGAGGACAGTTGGTGCATGGTGACGTTGGAAGTCTACGGCGCCTGCATCTGCCATTTTTTATTGTTAGGAATGTGATGGGAAGGGCCAGACGTTTCCCGGGGAATTGCCACAGATGCTTTGGTTTCATGGCCTCCAGTCCACAGAAACCAGAAGGACATCTAATTCCCACGGTCCCTCTTTGCTTCTGTACAAATGTGGTGGCCTGGTGCTGTTTTGACGCTCGCTGTTCTGTAAAAACAGAGCTGGGGCCTGAGGTGACTACAGGAACAAAGACACCTGCTGGGGGCTTGTTCGGGACCAGCGTAGACTTGTTGGAATGTGAGACGCGGTGGGAAGGGCGGGGAGGCGGGAGGTGGCGCCTTTGCACCGGAACTCAGAGCAGTTGTCGCGTTTTGCACGTGGATTTCCATCATCGCCCCGATGGCGTGATTTCACCACCACGGGTGGTAAAAACACCCATTTATTTTGTTCACAGGTTGTACTCAGACTATCTCTACTTCGCAAGTTCGAATAAGTCTGCAGACGACTTCCACGAGAAGGTGGCCGAGGCGCTGCAGCTGTTTGAGAGCTGCTTGCTCGAGGGCTCCCTGCGCGCCTGCGCCTACAACAACACGCTCAACAACGCCATGCCGGTACGTAGGCCGCCGCCGGCGCCACCCGAGGGCGTGTTCCGTGCAGGGGC